TGCAGCGAGCAAGTTTTCTGAATCAAGTAATTGCGAAATTAGCCCAACTTCTTCAATGTGGTCTTTTTCGGCGAAAAGCCGCCAAGATGAATAGCCAACGCACCGGCCGGCGTTAGTGGCTCAAATTAACTTGAAGCTAATCGAGCACAACCAAACTCAAGGAAAGCAGCTATCGAACCTTCCCATTGACTTGACTGCAGCCTTAGTGTTCCCTCCAGTGAAACACTTCGTCTGTCGACCTCAGTCCACTGTTCTAAATCCTTATAAAGAAACCACTTATCAGTTACCAAGCAGTCGTCACTTTGAATGTGATTAGAAACAGACGAGAAATCAAAACGTTTCTCCGTGATTCCTCCTCATCCAAAAAATTGAAAGCACGCGACCGTGTGTTGTGGAGTAAACGGGCTTTCAAACACGTGATGGAAAAAAACAATCTACTGAGGCTTCACCACACTAATGAACACTCCGGCAAACTTAAGATATTTTCAGACCTTCGTCAAATTACATTGCTCGCCCCCGCGCCGACTGCACGCGTCCGCGAAGGCCATCAGAGACGTGGCGGGGCGCGGAGCGACCTGGACCGACTGGTTCCCGGATTTCCCGCTTGGCGGCGTCCGTTTTGCTGGAGTCGCGAATACCTCTTCCACGTCCTGGTCGAGGCAAGGCCTAAGACTCTTTCGGTCAGTCTTGACGGTGTTGTTTGCATAGCATGACTTCGATCATCTTCCTTGCACTCAGGATGGTAGATATCGTGCTTGGTGTAAGCTCGAAGTCCACAGTGATGTCTTTTTTCTTTCGGCTGCTGTCCACCGCCCTCAGAACCTTCACTTTTGTCTTCAAAGAGACAGCTTTTTGCTTTTTCATTATTTGCAGCTCCGCTGCAAGTGGCGTGGTCGGCGGTTGGCTTAAGTCTGTACTGCTGCTTGATGCCTCGCATAGAGGCCAGCACCGGCGCAATCACCATTATTCACTCAGTTCATAGATGGCGCTACCTCCCGAATTGTGCATTTTTGCACATCGGGCAATCTAAACATTCGGAATTTTTCGTTTATAAATTACTTTTTGTATTTTTTCTACTTTTTAACAACCTTCGTAGTATTTTGTGACGCAAGGAGAGCAGGAATAGCTTCGCTATAACCGATAGCGTATCAGATTTCACGGTTTCGGTTTCGTTATATAACTAGAACTCCCATCCAAATAAAATATGACCAGCCAAACTTCGTGATTAGTTCTCTATATCCGATAACTCGGTATATCAGTGTTTATTATAAGGAGGTTCAACTGTATATGAAAGCAAAGCAATCTTTCGACGGGAGAAACCTTCTAGTCAGTGCGTAGGAATGACACGGCGGAAGCATAAAAATAATCACTGGAAACAATGTTTGTTTCTATGCTGCCTACGAGAACCAAGCAGTGATGGCAGACGACAGAGTTGAAACAACCTCTTTTCTTGAGCTTCTCAACGTTGCCGCTACGTGGCATCGATTTCACTGGGGTCGCAATAATTGTGTCTACAAGGGATCCCAGCACTGTAGAGCAAGTCGGAAAAATCGGCGCCTGTGCGGTAGAGGGCTCAAATCTTCTCCGAATGTGCGTTTAGGGGGTGCATCTTGCCCGGTGAAATTTTAAGGGTTAGCTCCCTTTCTGCGAAGAACGAGACCAACGAAATTGCCAGGGTTAATAGTGGATGTGTTTGCAGACGACCAAGCTAGGTGTGGTGCCCTGTGGCGCCATCTTCCGAGAGGCGCAGTGGGCGGATGACGGAGTGCATCGTCTGCTTAGTGCACTTGTTGGAAGATGCTGCCACGAGTCACAACCACAGCCAACTCGGTCATCTGCAAACACGCCTACCATTTGCCATTGACCCTGCAAGTTTGTTGGTCCCATTTTTCGTGGGAAAGGAGCTAAGCCTCGAAATTTCCCCAGGAAGAATGCACCATCTAAATGAACATTTGGCAAAGATTTTAGGTTTGTATGTGCAGGCACCAATGTTTCTGGCTTGCTCTACAGCGCTGGGGTCTGTTGTGGGCTCCCTATATAATGAAATTAATTTTACTGTTAACCCTAACGTTCCAGAAAAAAAAGTTAATGGAGCTTAAGACTGTGTTTTGTGATAAAAAATGGCAGCAATCGCTCCGGTGCGCACACGGCAGTGATGTGATTGCTGCGCCATTTGTGCCAAACTGCGCCAATGTGCTTACCCTGCTACATCCTGCTACATTTTACTAAAATGCGAGGAATTTGCACCAACGTTGCGCCAAAACTTAATTTCGCTTTAATAATACTGAAAATGTAAAAGTTCAGGCCTCGCTGCCCAGCCAGACCATTACAATATGCTTATGTGAGTACTCAGATCTTTTGACTATCGCCTTGAATAAAGTACTATTCGATCGCATTTTGTATGAAAGGCTGACAGTATTCGGAAGTTTCACAATTATCCTCATGTTCGTCGTCTGGTCTGCTGGAGGATTAGTCCCGTTGAGTGCGCTTCTTCTCGCACACTGGTGTATTGCAGAAAAGCGAAAACCTCAAAGTAAGCATCACAATTTTGCGTGTCTTGCTTGGCCACAGCGCTCCCCCGTGCCAAGGGGAAAGCACTCCTCCAGAGCGAGACGCATCACAATTCCAGAGTACAACTTCAGCTCGTATAAATTATAGGCTACGATATCCTCATAGACTACGATATCCTGGCAGCACCTTTTTCCAAAGCGAGATTTAGCAAGGATATTTCGGTATTGCAAGGACATTTATATGTGCTCTTTCGTAAGTTTATTTATTTATGCCAACTCATTTATTTAGCTATGACTTTTATATAGATGTGAGTAAATTAGAACTAAGTTGGCAGGAGCAGTGGATGGAAGCTCGGAAAGAACCATAATGAGTTCGGCGGGATTGTTTTTAAGTTTTGTTGGCATGCCGTTTTTGTTATGAAGTTCTACAAATAAAATGTAATTGACGTTCATAATCAAATGTCAAGTGCTTTGTTTTTTATCTGAATTAAGAATTGCCGTTTTAGTACAACCTTTAGAACTTGAAGGAAACATTAATTTATGGGCTCAATATTATTGTATTATTTCACTGGCATTCAGTACCTAAAATAACCATTCACAGCAGCTCGTGCTGTCCTTTAACACTTACCCTCTCACCCTGTCTAGTGCTTCTCCACGCAACTAAACGCTAGTTTTGTGATTGAGGGACTCACTCTTGCTGTGCAATTGATGATAACAAAGAGTTGCACATCAGTGACAAGTCAGTGTACACATTGCCTCTTAGTTGGACACGCCAACACTTTAACAGTGATGGAAGTGCTGCGCCAATTGCGCCAAATTGCGCCAAGGACGCAATCCTGCTCAATGTAGCGCCAAATTGTCATTTTACCGAAGAATTGCGCCATGCCTGCGCCGAGATGAGATGTAGCAATAAAAAAGAAACTTGAAGTCTTATCGGAGCGCGTGGTGGTACCGCGGTATTTTCCGCGCCGCAACTGTTACGCAAACCGAAACTGCGAGGGCGCATTATCATCATCATCATTGAAAGGAACAACGTTAGCATCATCTGAGACCAAAGCCGCAGAGGCTAAGCGAAGAACCATCCCACTGAACAGCCTATTTAAAATAAAAAAGGCAGAGCTTGTGGATGTTTTCAATGTTGGCCCGCCCTGTTCCCGTGCGCTAGCTACCAGCGAAGTCAAAGCTAGCGCGAGCCCAATGCTCTGTGCATTCCTGACTCGCGCGTGGGCTCGTGCAGTGTGGGCACCGTTACGGGCTCCATGCGCGCGCTTGTTGCTTCGGCTGCGCTCGCACCGAAGCTGAAACAAAGTATAGTTGAGTTGCTCCAAACTCTGAATGTAGTGCTGGTAAAGCCTCACCGTCCTTTTCGGAGCACAAAGCACTGCGCGACTCGCGCGACTGCGGTGTCTGCTCCGCGGGTGTCGCTTCTCTGCAGCGCGTCGGTGGATGCCAAGGTGCGCACTCAACGGGTTAACTCGCCGTGATCCGATGCGATCGTGACTTCGCCAGCACATCGAAAATGAATCGGAATTTTTGAAGCGAATATCAGATACCGCAATATTTGAAGCTGCTGCCCGAAAGACAACTCTAATCTGAACTAAAACATTCCACAACAGTGGGGGTCGTTAGATGCTGCTGCAGATACCTTAAAAGAAGTGCAGGCTGATAAAAATAAATATCCTGTACCATCAGAACTCAGTGTAACATATTTAATTGTATTTTGTTATCTGACAAGCAGATAAACTTTATTTAAATTTTTTTTGTGTGTTTACTTTGTTGAATTTTATATACCCTGTCTTGAAAAGGCGACAGGCGCTGTGTTCCTATAATAGACATGGGCTTTATATAGCAATGTAGCATTATTTCATTTTCGAGTAATATGCCAACATATGCCGGACCCTGCTCCAAAAGGGCCACTAGCTGCTCCAAAACAACATTTTGCCTGCTACAAGGCCTGCTCCAAAAGGTCAAATGGCACTTCCATCACTGCTTTAATCTTGACGTAATGTCTGCATTAGTATGAATAAAAATTGTGCTACAAGAGTTATTTTTGCTGCTCCAAAATTGACCATGGCTGCTCCAAGAGCTGCTCCCAAATGACTCGGACCAATCACATCACTGACACTGATTAGGCAGAAGTTTTCACCACTTGGCTGTTGGCAACAGTGGTGTGGCGGTGAAAGGCTCTCGGGCCCTAGCCTTCATTTGCCGGCCAAGTGGTGCAAGCCGTTGCCCGATACGCGTGCTCATTCTTTATGCGCTTTCTCTGTATTCTCTACTCTTGCCACCATGAAAATTAGCTGCCCAAACAAAAATCATTCCCCTTGCAGCCAGATTATGGAACCAGCCTTAGCTGGATCCAGCTGGATATTCGCATTTCCGGCTGGGACCAGTTTCATAATCCAGCCATAGGTGGGCTGATTTCCACGTGGCTCGGTATTTTAAAGCTGTTGTAGCGACGAGTATGAACCGGAGGCACCTTGTTTCCAGGTTCGGAGGAGGATGACACGACCGAGGAAGGCAGGACTCCAATTAAAGACCAAGGTACTGGAAGCACATCTTTCTTGGACAGGGTGGGGCCGGAAGCAGATCTTGCCTCGCACTAGTCGAGGCTAGAGCCACTGCAAAAGCTGCGCTTCGAAGTAACGACACTTCAGCCATTTTGGTGCTTAGAATCATTGTTCTCAGTTGTCTGAAGCTTTGTCTGGAACTGCAAGAAGCGCTTTTCCGTCCTCCGGAAATGCTAACGCAGTCCGTGACGGAGCAAGACAGTATCGTACGAGCTTCACAATGCTGTATTTGAAGATTGGGAAGTTGCATTTTGTGATTGTAACCATTTCCAATTGTGCCCACTGTTCATACTGCCACGAAATGGCATTGCCCAGGAGGACGGAAAAGGTCCCAGATTATGTCGGAGAAGGTGGTGCGTCACACCGCTGTATGTCGCAATCCTGGTAGCCGGTAATGGACGTTCTGGCAAGGAGTGTGAGCGAATGCAAGTACAGCTGTCATCGCAGTTTCATTTCATAGCAGTTGAAGCTTCTTTGCACCGTAAACCCGAAGAGGGATCTACAGCAATACAGTACACTCTCATTAATTCAAACTCCAGGAAGTCACAAATTTTAGTTTAAATTACCAGAAGTTTGAATTATTAGAAATTCATCTAAATATGATACTAGACAGCATTATGATTTGTTACATGGATAGATACACATACAAAGCAGATTTTTGCCAGTTTCCCCTACATAGGCCTAATTATAAGCAAGTACAGCCATAACACATTGGTGAAAGAACTGTGACGTTAAGTTTATTCATCCAACAAAAAAGTTGTCGATTGTGGACTGTTTAGTCAGTACATGAGATCTCAAAACAAAATTTTAAATACCAGCCAATGCAAATAGCTCTTTACGGGACACTTCCTTTGCAGACAGAAACTTTCGGAGCTGAGCAATGTGTTCAAAGGCCTCTGTGGCTGTGACAGTTGGTAGTGGGTCATCCCTTTCTTTGTTATCATCTTCACTCTCACTGCTGCACTGTGCTGGCATTACTTCCTTATGCCCTCTAATGAGTCATCACGACAAACACACACATCGTCGTCAAGATTAGCATATTCCGCCAGCTCGGCGTTCACATTATGTGCTTCAAGGCCAGGAAGCATGATGCCAGTGAGCTGTTACTCATCCTCGATGTCGTCTTGGTCATCGTTGCTTGTCTTGAAGCACATAATGTGAATGCCGTTTTCCGCTAAGGTGTGCCTGCTTGAGCCCCGTTGAGTGTGCTTCTTTCCGAGCACCGGTGCACTGCAAAAAAGCAACACTCGCAAAAACAAGCTCTGTGGGTATTGCTTCTCTGCGGTGCACCGGTGCTCGGAAAGAAGCGCACTCAACGGGGCCGCAAAAACAAAAAAGTATGAATTAAGCGAAAACGCCATTAGAATTAAGCGGCTTATAAATACATTAAAAACATAGCGGGACAACCAAAATTTTCAGATCTGTTTGAATTAACCGGAAGTACGAAATATCAGAGTTTGAATTATCGCGAGCCTACTGTATGTGCGTCTGCCTCGTCCACTCCGCGGCTGTGTCACCGCCACGATAGTAACGGACATCGGCACAACACCAGCTGACGTCATCAGGTGGAAGTTGAGGGAGTACAAATCGGAACGCGGTAAACGCACCGGTCAGAGACACGTTCCAGACACCACGACGGCGGCGACATATAATGCAACGGATGCCTCTCACTCTCTCCGGGGTCAGAGCTGGGGGCCGGAGGGACGTCGTGGAGGGGAGACCAGCACGGCTTCCAGGACAGCGACCAGTTTCTGGCGGAGCTGTGTCTCCGCAATGGCGTTACGGCCGGCGGCAGACGGACGGGGCCCGTGCCGGTTGAGGAGACGCCCCAGGGAACCCTGCCGTCCCCTCAGCAGGAGCCGACCCTCAAGGACACTCAGGTGGGCAGACACCCCAGACGGTTGAAACGTCTGGAACAAAGCGAGAAATCTATGCTCGCCGCCTCGAGGGTGTGGTTTTGGTTGCTGCAAAAAGAAGACTCCATAGGCCCGTTTTTCTCTATCGGGTGGTACAGTAGTGTTTGCAAGATGCAATCACAAGAGAGGTGCCATAACTTCCGCTGGGGTAGGCAAGATGTGACCATATAAAGCAGACATGCAGCGGCATTCTAGTGTGCTATTGTGCACAGTTCACAGGCATATATGAGCGACCGTCAGCATGCAAAGCGAGTGTCTGGAAGAACTTAGAAACCTTTGAAATAGATGAAAGAACAGTGCAGCTTGCACCTTCGGCATCCTGTTGAAGCACAGTAATGATCTTCTTCAAACTCTTCTGATCTCATTGTTTGTTTTAAAAACTTTGCATTAACTTGGGCAAGCATGGTGAGGCACAACTGAAGCACAACCTAAAAATATCCAACTGCTTGTCAGAAGCAGTTTTCAAAGCGTGAGAGCTATTTGTTTCTCACAAGCAAGGCAGGGTGTGCGTTAGCAGTCGACTCGTCTGCTAATGCGAACAAAGAATGTGGGTAGACCTGCTATGAGGCGTCATTTTCAGGTGGAAATCGAAGAAAGCGTGTACGCACCATCTCCTAACATAACCAAAAGAAGTTGCTTGTCCGCTATGAACCGAGTGCTATTGCGAGGTAATATTGAACGTTCACTGAAATTGTGCTTGGCTGCTATTCCCCGCTGGAAGCAAGTGACAACTTGTGCTTCCTTGGAGAATTCACAATGTTTTGCTTCCATACACAACCTTTCAACTGACCAGTATATAAAAGAGCACTAGGGACAGGCACATCAGCGGCCTCGAGATCACTCTCACTCTCAGTCTTTTGGCGAAGCAGTCTTGCCATATTATTGCCCGATTGTGAATTTGCGAGCGAATCAAACACTTGTCATTGGTGCGATAATGCTTACCTAGCAGAAAGCTGTAACGACATGTCCAAAATGAGAAATCTCGCTCCCACCAGGGACCAAAATTGGATCCCAGGAGCCATTTGCAAGTGAATGCTGCTCTTTCTCCCGGTTGCTAAAAGGGCCGCAAGAGGTAATTTCTGGTCATGTGATCGGCTTGGAGGGCAGGAAGTACCTGGCGTTTCAGCCGATTTCGCCTAGCAGACGCAAGTCTTGCCTGTTGTTTTCTTTAATTCTCGCTTAACACGATCTTCCCCGAAGATAACTTTACATGCCGTTCCTAAAGTACACAAGTGCGATTCATGTCACTTGCTCTTTGTTTGCACAAAAGCAGACTGGAATAATTGGGCTGGAATAACCAACCCAAAGAAATAAACAAAGAAATGCCAGATTCGTTGATTGACTACTATCACTACTATTCCCTTGTACGTCCTAGTCTAGAGTTGCTCTTGCACACTCTTGCAATCGGTGCTTTCAACGATCAGAACAATGCCTCAAAGTGCTTGCTGGAGTTACCGAGAGTGACACATAATCACGTGTCTATTTTGGGAACGCTCGAAAAGCCACAAGTGAACGTACTGCTTCAGTGTCGACAGCTGAAGTGAACATGTGCTCACACGGGTGAAGCTCGATCGGTAGATAGCCGCATTTGGGTTTTGATTTTTACGCCGCTGCTTTGGTTGCTCGTTACGACAGCATTCGCGCCACTTTCGCCAGCGGTAGCACTTAACGAGAGGAAAATGAGTGACAGCATCAGATAAACATGCTGGTGTTACGAGCGGTTAGTACGCTGACGAAGCAGTGCGGACAGTAACCACCAACAACGCCGGCGAAAAGTGCCGAGGTTCTTGCCCAAGCCGCCGGATTCGCAATCGAAATGGGTAAAACATGTACTTGGAATCCTTTGTTATTATTTCGTAGGAAAGATTCTTTGAGTAATCGAATAATCAGCTAAGACAGTAAAACTGCGCTCTGTGTTTTGTAATTCCATCAAAGCGTCCTTGTGCACCCAGACGGTTCTCGGAAGTTGCGGAGAACAATAAACGCAGCGGCGGCATTATCAACGTGCAGACCGCTCCGCACATGTGTGCCGTGTTGTATGCCCTTGAGGACTGCTACTCGACGCTCATTCGTGGAGAACGGATGTTCGGAGCTCTGTATAAGCGAGTGCAATATTGATTGCCAAAAAAAGTATAATCCGGTCGATATTCGGCAGAATGTTGAGCTTACTTTCCGGGAAATCGTGCTATCCAGGAACATTTGAACCGGAAGAAAAACAGCGCAACTCTATGGGACGTTTCCCGTACCCTAACTCGTGAACGTATGAACCGGCAAATCGTGTGAATCGGGAACGTATCAACAAGGTTCTACTGTGGCACAGCACACTGGCATCGTTAGGCATCAATAAAAACAGTAAATATTAATGGAATTCAAATTTGTTACTTGCAGATATTGCCCAAGCGCATAAATATAAAACATATTTGTGTTTCAAATATTCCAAGAGAGAACCTAAAACATGCAGTTAATTAAAAAGAGTGCACTTTTTAATTATGTTAAGAAAATGCCCGCTTATTGTGAGCAAGAATACTTGGTTTCTAAAATAGGAACATTGGCTTCAGGAAGATCGTTTCAGAGTTTTGTGGTGCGTGACAAGCAAGAATCACTGTATGCTGATGTTGACCCGGAGATGTGTTTAAAGCTCTCGGTGTTAAAGTTTTGAGATCCTTTAGTAAAGGGGTTCTTAAAGCAAGCACAAGGACCGGGTGTTGCCAGTCTCTTCGCAAGAGTGTTGGACACCACGTCGTGACTGGCAGCCAGCACTGACAGCCTGTCTGACTTTGCAGTTGTGCCAGAAAAGGCCCGCGAGCCTGAGGCTGTTTTGCTTAGAAGTGCGCAAGGCCCCCAGGCAGAACAAGGCAAGGCGAGTGGGGACTGCACGCCCACGGGGCTCGCATAGGGACCCCACTTAACAACAGACGCACAGATGGACGATAGTGGCAGTACCCTCCGTATCGGGCGGCAGCTTGCGCCACCTAGCCCCAGTTCCCCTGGTTTACGACGTCCTGTAACCTGCCTGGCATGTTTCTTTGTGTGTGTTTCCTACTTTACAAGCACATTGCAAATGACCTCAATAACAGCCAAGAGCATTTTAAGCGAAGGGCAAGAAGGTGGAATTACGCATCTTCTCTGAATGATATATGAAAATCGTTTTTGCGAGACTCACAATTTGTAGTTGAAAAGGTTCAATGTGGTATACCCTCGAAAAGGCAGCTTAGCAAAGCCACTGTTCTGGACTATGCTGCTTGGAGCCTCCTGCTTGTATAGTCCTGCCTTGCGAGTCCTCTGTAAATCTGAGTATAGTTATTGCTGTTTCATGATTTAGTCTTTAATCAGTCTGTTTCTAGCCAGGTCTGTTGTAAGTAGCTTGTGCTTTATTTTTATTTCATGTATGTTTTTTTTTTAGATTGTAGTACCTCTAAGCAGGGTAAAACAAATAATTTATTTTTTATATTAAGTAAATGTGATTTATTTGGTTTAAATTACACTACCGTAAAATACCGGGCCAGCGCCCACTTTAGATTTAGAGATAATCGCAAAAAAAATGGGGGATTGGCGCTTGTCCAGTCATCAATTTTACATACTATCAATGTACTGTGCATATTTTCTCAGATCTTTGAAATTTGGGAATGGGCACTTATTGTAGTATGGGCGGATGCACGGTATGCTACGGTAACTCTAAGATAGTGATACTTTATTGAAATGTGTATTTTTAAACATGTCAGATTAATTGGTCAAGTCATCCGATCATTGACAATGTTGCGGAAGAAAGTAGTTTAAATAACAATGTTTTATTGTTGCAGACTTTGCCATATTAAAACAAAAACAGGTTGTTAGTTAAACTGCTGAATTTACTTTTTCTTTCACATTTTGATTTACTTGCCATAGGACATTACTTTTCTAGCGTTCGTTTCTTTTGCATTCTGATTTGCCTTGCTTAAACTGACGAAGGAGGCGGAAGGCAGAAAGAAAGCTCAGTGCTACAAAGAGCACTGGTCCTTGCTCTTGTTCAGCCTGATATACATATTTATTTCTCGATGATTATTTTATTTATATATAAAGAAACACACATAGAAAGAAAGAAAGAAATGATAGATATGGCAAATCAAAACAATTTCGTGATTATTTTTGCGGGAAGGTTTGTTTTAAAATCGTCGTAAGAAATGAGGATTTGAATCACCATTTAAATCACAATGTAAATAATAATTTATATCACAATTTAAATAATAATTTAAATGACAATTTAAATCATCTTGATTTTTGTTTTGCACCCTGCCTTTGAGACATACTTTCTGAAAAGAAAACTTTCAGTGCATGACGTGAATCTTGAAAATTATCACCTAACTCCAGTTTAGAGGGGATTTGACTTAATCACCAAGTGCAGCAATTTGGACTGAATTTGATCGACTCAATTGTTTTGTTTGCACGAATACTCCTTGTTTTGGTTTGTGCTTGAATGCTATGTTCCACTTGTGTTTATATTTTGCTCGTTACATGCAGCGTTAAAATATCTCTTCTTTTTGTGGATGAGCATTTTAGTTTTCCCGCTGCCTCGGGCCTTTCTGTAATGATGCCCCAAATTTGAAAAACAGGATGAACATAATTCATGCATCAAGCACGGTTCTTGTTTTTTTTTTTTTGGCAGCAAGGATTTAGGTTTAAACCGCCTGCTCTTCCCGTAAGGCTGGTTAAAAATATTTGAGTTTGAATCTGGCCTACTATGTTACGACTGCCTAAGACTGCTTACGACATGATGGCAAGGTAGCGGAACGCAAGGAGTCATAACGCAGTCAATTGCGCTCAAATGCAAATGTCCAAAGCAACCTTTAGTCGTGGGCGTCATTACGTAGAACAGGCAGTGAACCCCTTTTTAAGGCCCGCTCACACACACAGCCTCGCATCGAGATAGTGCAAGGAAAGCACTGCATCGGTGCTGGCATCAGCACCGAGTTGGTGCTGCGTCGTGCGTGTACGGAGGAAAAAAGCGAAGTCGTGTGCATCGAAACACGGATATAACGATACAAAGTCGGCGTTGAGATGCGTGCGTGAGTGGGCCTTTATTCAGTTTTGCATTTCCTCTGCCTTGCCCAGTTTCATTTGGATTGCTTTCATTTCGTTTCGTCGGAGTGCTTTTGTTTGGTTGCTTACGTTTCCTTGTTTCTTCCTTTTTTTCCTCCGCCTGGTTCGTAGTGAGACGACGCGTCCTAGCCGGCCGGGGCTCTGCGGCACCGGGGCACCACTTTCCAACCCAGGACCAAAACCCTTCCCCCTCCCGTTGCACGGGCGGGACGCGCCTCGTCTAGTCAGCGTCGGGTGGCAGTCGTAGAGGGCTAGAGCCACCGAGTGGGCTACGCTTAGAGCGTCGACACTTCGCTTCCCGACTGTCTCGTCGGTGCCGCCATTTTGTTGCTTAGTGCGAAGCCGGTGCAATTGAAAAACGATTAGAAAAAAATGATTTCCCCAGCTTCAACAACGGCTTCAAGAAGCCTGGATGATGTCGTCTTGCTTCATCGCAGTTTTTTTACCGTTTTTGGAGGACAAAAAGCATTTCCTAGAATTTCGAGTAAAATACCATATTTACTCGCGTAATAAACACACTTTGCATAAATGTCATTTTAATATAATATGGCAGGGTACTGTGGATCGTCTCCACTGACAGAGGTGCACCCATGGCTGGTCATGGGTGTACCACAGTGACCATGTAAACCTTTTTTAGGCTGCCTTTGGCGTGCCTTTTGCCGAAGAAAAAGCGCTTTACGAAGCTCACTCAGCATGGAAAGCGACGCAACCATTCTTAGGCCTAACCACTTTCACGATGTCACTGTCCGAAAGCAGATCACATACGGCGGCGTGTTTGTAGACATCAATGCATCCGATGGACGAAGCATGTTTGGGGCTGGGCGATTCCTCGACCCCAACTTCGCTTGGTGTGTGCGCCGCTCGATTTCACAGTTGATCACTTCCTCAACCACGCAATTGCAGCCATTACGAGAGCAGCTTGGCTTGGCCTGACTTGGCCTGGCTGCTTGGCGGCCAAAGAAAATTGGCGGGCTTGGTGGCTAGCCGGCTAAGTTGGACGCAGATCAAGACTCTCGGAGCCGAAAATTTAAAGTGCGTTCATTACGCGAGAAAAAAAAAATCAAAATATTGATGCCGGTTGTGGGGGGTGCGTTCATTATGTGAGCAAATGCGGTACTAGACAACTGGCAACCATAACTGTAAGCAAAGAGACAGTTGAAGTGTCTATTCTCCGAAGCGTAGCTTCATCGGCGGCTTCAGTTAGGGCCGCACAAGAGGCTCGGAGCGATGGCGTGCAGACGGAGGGCCACATAGACGAAGGAATTATGCGGCTTGGCTCGCTTTCGACGTAATGAGAGCCTTGTCAAGTGCATCTAGCGAAGAGCACGGTGCACCTCACGAGATTTGGAAACTCTTGTCTACCTGGATTGCAGCTCAATGCAGCCGGGATCGGCATTCGGTCCCGACGTTCTTCGGGATTGCCATCTTTGCGTCCGGCTTCTGGCTTCCAGGCAATGCCTCCCAGACGACAAAGCCGTAGTGCTGGATTTTCTACGTCACGCGGCGTGGGGTACAGACAGAAGCGCGGCAAGTCGTAAATACCTACATCAGTTGTCCTGAGAGAAGGAATGAAAAAGAGACCGACAGGAAAGTGGAGCAGGAACACAGCTGAAATAATGGGTTTGTTAGTTTGGCCCCGTGACGAGTCAAAGCTACAGTTTTCCGTCGACTTCATCTCTGGTACAATGCACTACAGCTGTGTTCTCTAACAAAACAGAGCTAAAAAAGGCTGGGTGCTGGCCTTGGAGGTGATATTTCTCTGCTTCTTCGTTTATATATTAAAGCGTCGCCAGCAATCTGGTTCTGTCGGAACAACTTGATGTCTGCCGTACGCTTCACCGTTCTTAGGTGGCCGAATCGCCTAGGAAGACGGGGACCTATTCCTCTAGATTTAATATACAAACTCTATGGCCCAGCCTGAGGCACATGTTGAACGCAAGCGCTGCATCAATATTTGGCTCGTACTCGTTAAAAAAAAAAAAAAGCCGAATTTGGGGGTTTTACGTGCCAAACCTACGACGGGCATCTGGCATGCCCCATCGGATGACTGAGGATTAATTTGGACTACCTGGGGGTCTTTCGACATGCAACCGAAAGCTCGGTTACACGGCACCTTCTCCGCAATAAGCCTCTGTCAGATTGGGGGCACCTCGGCCGGGATTCGAACCCGCCACATGGGGATCCGTAGGCCGGCGCTCTTGCCTCGGAGCCACCGAGGCGGCCTGTCTCGTACTCGTGTTCATTCGGTAAGAACACACTGATACGGCGCTGATGTTCAATCTCTATTCCCCGGTAGCCTCTGGTAGGTGACGTAGAAGATCCAGCGCAACAGCCTCGTCGTGTAGGAGGTGTAGTTCCGTGTAACCCCCTCGCTGTCCTCTCGGAGACCAATCGACTGCACCAGTTTTGCGTCATTGCTAACGATGCAACACTCTATTAATCAAACTATGGACACTTTAGATACTCTACAATATCATTGTTAAGCTTTTTTAAGTAATCTAAAAGCCACTAAAAGATGCTACTAGTATATAAATATTTATAGAGGAAAGCTATTTAGAAAGTCTTTATGTTCCTTACTATTGATACACACTCTAAGTCCCAACTAATTCTACTGTCGATGGCATTGCTAGACCGCATTTAGTCCGAGCATTTATGCGAATAAAGCTAAATTGTGATGTCACTTTGGATGCATCTGTGGGGGGCAGTCGGGTCAATAGTGGTAAAGAAAAAATTAAACAATGTTTACAAATCTCTAATGCAAAACTAGAATGCAGCTCTTGAGGACGAGGAGGGTATGCCCCTCCTTCTCCTCTGTACCCTCCCCTCCTCCTCCCGTTAAATTTCCCCTCTAAATTTTATGCTAATATTAGCGAACATTCCCTTGCTAAATTTAGCGGGTTAAGTTTCCCCGTAAATTTAGCAGGGAAAATGACGTCACATGACTTCGTGTCACGTCAAATTAAGTTTCTCCGCTAGATTTAGCGGAAAAATTGACATCACGCGACCTCAACGCCAATTCAAGTTTCCGCTAAATTTAGCGGGGCAGTTACGGTGACGGTGACGCCGCTACACGCGGAAACGGGTGCCTAAGAACTGCGCTCGAAAACGTGCCTGGCATTAAAATTGGTGGTTGCACTTGTGGCACGTTTGGGGAAACGAGCACAGACCTTCATGTATGCAACAAACAGAGAGAGGAAGTGGGTGTTTTTACTAGTTTTATGACAACTGACAAACTCGGGCACAGTCCAAGGCATTTAGTCTCGCCCAAATCGATCTGCCCTCTTATATTCCCACCTCAAGCAAAGATTTCCATTTTCTTTAGCACCCAGCACTGATGGAATAAACGCAAATTTATACGCAAGTCGCTGTGCTTTCCTGCAACTTTAGTCCATGCATGATAAGTTGTCGCTAAGTGAGCCAAAACGATATGCTGCTATGTGAAGTTATCAAAACTGCATGCCATAATATAACAAGATGATCAAAATATTAATGTATAGACTATAGATTAATAAAAAGAAAAAGATGAAATTGGCTTTTTTAAAGTACAAATGTTTCAAAAATTTAATTAAAATTACTGCCAACATATGTCATTGTTATTTTACCTTCAGGGTCGTTAGACATTACAGAGAGGAGTGGTAAAAAAATCCAAAAAACATATGACAAAAAAAAAAAAAAAAAACACGAAAAATCAACACAATTATGGTCCAGAACAGACCGGGAAGGATGGTTTCATTCTACAGAACTGACGAGGAATGAAAGAGTGAAAAAACACATTTGTGTTGCCTGGAAGAACGCCAAGCTTTGTTTTGGTGATCAAAACGACTGGAAATATATAAGGGGGATGCTAGTAGGTGATGGCTCAGAGAAGAATGATGATAGATTTTGTGAAATACAGATAAGCAGAAACACTGTCTACTCAAGGCAAGGTTCGGTAATGATAATGAAAGTTACATAGAGGTTATAGACCAGTGTCCGAAATAATAATAATAATCTTTATTTGCACAAGCAGGTGTTTTCCTGGGGGCGTGCGAGGCGACACAGAAAGGCGGAAGCCCGTACGCTGGTGCGTCTGTTGGCCCGACCGAAACGAAAACAAAGCTAAACGTAACAAACAAGAAGCACGTAATATACAAAAAAGGCTACGCAATCTGTGGCGTTCGCGAGGCCCTAGCACGGCCCGAGTGTCCCCAAAGGACGTCTAAACCGAAATCACGAAGCGCGCGCGACTCCCACCGCCGCGACAGGAGGCTGCGCCAGCAGTGAGAGACCGAGGAATGCCCAGCACCCTGGGAGGGCGAGTCAGGGGCTTTACAAGTCAGGTCCCGAACCGGATCCCTCCCCCGCGACAGAGCCCCACATCACCGCAAAAGTCGAGGGCCACGCGCGCCCCGCAATCCCGACCCGAACGCGACTCCCCCAGACAATTAATGCCGCGCCAACGATAATCCTAGCCCCAACGATAAAAATGGGAAATAATCTCAAGCGCAGGTTCTTGTGAAGAGAGGGGCTGCGCGTAAAACGAGGGTTTTGCCTTTTACAGCACTCTTGGCATCGGTGTTGTTCTTGTAGCTTTAGGACTATACGTTTCTGACGTTCTTGAACTACGATATGTACGATGGTTTCTAAAAAAAAAAAACGGAGCCTTGCAAAAAGCGCAGGTCCCTCACTGTGTCGTGGCATCAGCATAAAAAATTCCAGGAGGACGCTTAAAGGGGTTGTGCAACGATTTTAGTGTTGAAAGAATTGACAATTTGTATTTTTTATATTGTTTATCCAAGCACAAGTGACCAAAAACGCATTGCCTCACCGCGAAAATCTGCTATTCCTGTGCGTAATCGCAAAGAAGAAAACAAAATATTTGCCGATCTGCAGCCGCTTGTGGTGGTTAACGGAACTGATGTGTGACTTGCGTACTCTGGTTGATACGCGAAAGTGAACAAAGCCTGTCCCCCTCCGCCGCTACACTTGCCGTCACCCCCGTCGCGAACCGTCTTTCGTGTCAATCGCTCGCCGCGACCTTCAACGATGCTCATTCTTTAAAATTCAGTAATCGCCGAGGAAGCGGCTGGGGTCTCTAAGGCAGAACTCAAGGGGAAACTATGTGATCCCCCAGAGTACGTCACTTGAAAGGCGATGTAGACAGTTGAGAGGCACTTTGACCTTCGATTTGTTTCATTTTGTTACATAAAAAATAAAAGCCGTTTACAACTCCCTGTAACGCCGGATTAGAGTGCAGCTCTTCAGGGGGAGGAGGGGAAGGTATATCCTTCCTACCTCCTCGTCTTGTCTGCTACTCCGAGCGGCGTCGCCGTTGTCTCACGAGGGTCACGTGACGTCACCGGGGTCATGTGACCCTTATGAGGTCACATGACGATGACGACGCCGTCAGTGACGATGACGATGCGGATGCCGATGATGTCATTAGGAATAGGGACGATGCAGATGCCGATGACGTCATCAGTGGCGTCACACGTCCCATAATGCACTGCGCAGTTACGTCGACGCCGACGCCGCTCAAGCCGGAAACGGGTGCCTAAGAGCTGCGCTCTAAAACTGGCGCTCGCAAGAAAATACGGTTTTCTGGTCTTCGTTCTATGGGGTGACACACATTAAGTTCCGCAGTTAATGGGCCAAATTCTGAAAATCGTTGCACCACCCCTTTAAGCTTTGCCTTTAAGAGTGGAATGTAATAGCTAAATATACACCCCCGCTCGTTCCCAAGTCATGTCTGCGTGGCCGAGTCGGTAGCGCGTCTCTCTCGCAACCGAAGGGTCATGGATTAGAATCTCGCCCACCTAAAATTTTTCAAGTATTTTCTTTAAGGCAAATGAATTGCTTGATAAAGTGAATATTCATTGGAGACGCGCGAAGTCAAGTGGCTGTGACGTCTGTGGGTCGCCTGTCAATTCCCGATCAGGCCTAGTTCTACTCGCTCCGAGGAAGTCACACAAAGAGCGCTATCATAGAAACACTTTATAAATACTCAAATTGTGCCGTCGATGCTGTGGAAGGCCACGGTTGCCCTGGGGTCCGGGTCTTGCCTGGGCTCGTTCAGCACCGCCTCTTTCGTTCGTCACGGCCCTTCGAACTCTGTCCACGCGCACCTCCCACGAGCGTCCCTTTCTCCTCTTCCTCGCCGCTCACGGGGCCGTCCATCCACGCTCAGCGTGGCTCGTTGTCTCCCACACTCCCCTCCCCTCAAGCCTCAAACTCCGGGGGGGTCCGGAGTATCCGGAGTCCCTGGACCGAGTCACTGGACTCCAAGATGAACTCCTGGTGGGGGAGCTTGATGAGCTCTCGCTCCCGCAACAGGTCCGGGGTCAGGTAGCTGTACGTCTGCTGGATGGCCAGGTAGGTGGTCTCGGCAAAGTTGCCCAGCGTGGCCGTCGAGACGCGGGCCGAGGTGTAGCAGACCTCGATGCCCGCCATGTGCAGCAGCTTCTTGGGCACTTGCAGGGCACGGTGTGGCGCTTTCCACTCTTGTTTCCCCAATAGCCGTTACGGACGGGGATGACGCACAGCTAGGCCAGGATGATGGCTTGAAGGATGGCCGTGGCCACCTCTTTGGAGCACTTGGCAGGACTGGCACCTCTTTGGAGCTCTTGGAGCACTGGCCGTTGAAGTCCCCAATGGCCGCAAAGGCCTTGAGGCGGGTGCGCTGGCCGGCACGCGTCTGCTTCTGCACCGTCATAATCTTCAGCTCCTCGTCCTTCAGCGTGTCCCTGGGACTCTCCGGTCCTCCGCGTCTCCGCCGCCCTGCCTTCGTTGACGTGGTCGACGTCGGGATTGCTCACCCCGTCTCTGCCAACCAGGTTGACCACCCTGACGGTTGGTCCGTCTTGCTCCTTGCTAACCGGGTTGACCACCCTGTTGGTTGGTCTGGCCGTTCCCCCTTCCAACGGGGTTGACCACCCTGTCGGCTTGTCTGGCCATTCTCTTGCCGAACGGGTTGGCCACCCGGTGCGTTGGTCTGACTGGTCTTCTGCCGGAAGGGTTGACCACCCTGGGAGTTGGGCCAGCTGGCTCCGCCGGTATCCCGGGAAGTGGAAGGTCGCCTTCCCGGATGGCGCCGCCCATTCTGGTTCCTCCGGGGGGCATTTCTGGACAGAACAAGCTCTATTAACATCTTGCAAAGATTAGATCAAGTTCTAGGCCGCAGATTATAGCGCCGCGCAGAGCACCTGTCGGATCTCTCACCGACGGGTTCGCGCATTGTTCGGCTACCGCGCTTAGGCCGCGTTGCCGGTCGCGCGCGAGAGTCACGCGGAACGGAGGATTCCTCGTTTTGTTCTCGTTCATCGTCATCCCGATCACGAAGATGGTACTTTTTTAGGTCTGTGATGTGGACCGGGCCAGACTCCTCGCTCGCATTTTCCTGAGCGAGCCTGTAGGTAAGACGTGACAGTCGTGCCTTTACCACGTAGGGCCCTTCCCACTTCGGAGCAAGTGAGGCTGCGAATCCGCTCGCTGCGTTGCTCAAAGGATGGGTTCTCCTGAGGACCAAGTCACCCACCTTGTACTCCAGGTGACGATGAGTCTTATCGTACTGGGTCGCCTGTTCGATCCTTGCTGCAACGAGGTTCTCTCTGGCGTCGTGCAACGCATTCGAAAGGCGAACTTTCAACTCCGCCGCGTATTTAGAGAGTGGGCGTTCTGTCGAACCTTGGTTATTTCGTAACCCGTTCTCCAGCGGAGACGATAGCTCCTTACCCAAGTTTAGAAGCGCAGGCGTTAACCCAGTAGATCTGTTCACGGTCGTCCGGATTGCAAAACCCATCTCGACAATGTGTTCGTCCCAGTCCCTGTGTCTCTCCGTTAGTGTGATCAGCATGCTCTTCAAGTTTCGGTTCACTCTCTCAGTGATATTAGCCTGAGGATGGTATGGTGTCGTCCTTTTGTGCTTTATGTTTAGCGCCAAGCAGGAGTCAGTGAACACTCTGCTGGTAAAATAGCTAGCATTATCGCTGATGAGACACGTGGGTGTACCGAAGCGCATGAAAGTTTCCAACAACTTCTCCCAGATGCGCTCCGAGACCAGCTTCCTCAGCGGGTGTAACTCCACCCATTTCGAGAAATGATCGGTTATTACCAATAAATACTGGTTCCCACGGGGACTTTTTGGAAGTGGGCCGATGATGTCGCAAGCAACCATCTCCCACGGGTAGTGACTCACTACAGGCTGCATCAGGCCTGGGGGCTTTCCCCCTCGCGGCTTCGCTTTCTGGCAGGCTGGGCAGCTACGGGCGTATCGGAGTGTGTCCTGTCTCATCCCCGGCCAGGTCGCGACGCGACATAACTTTTGAAAAGTCTTGCTGCCGCTGCCATGACCAGCCAAAGCCGAGTCGTGGAAGTATCCGATAA